GAATCAATATTCATTATTTAACTTATAATTTTTTTATTATATAACACAAATACGACTATTAATATAATATTTATGTAATACAAAAAAAAAATTGTATTTATTAAGACGGGGTACGCGCGCGCGTACCTGAAGACTAGTACTATATTAAAAATGGGAAAACTTTTAAGTCAAAAGTTAAATTACTTTTTTACCCTTCTATAACTTAAAGACCCTATTTTTTAAATTAAAAAGGCACTACCCTTAGGAACAGGCAACAGCCAAAATGAAAAGACGCTTCGCTACTAACAGGCCAAACGCACGGTTTGAGAAAATAAGAGGAAAGAAAATGACCAGAATACGATATTTTCTATGGATGAATGCATACCAATGAATTAAGATGATGAATGACAAACTTGAAGAATAGTTCATGTTTCATGTGCTCAACATTCGAATTGCATAAATGAATTGGGAATAGCAGATTATATTTTCTTTCCCGAAATACTCAACGCAGCAAAATAAATGATGAAGCAGGCGCACTAAATTTTAAAATACTCCGCAGTCCGTTGCGGGCTTCTTTTTTGATTAAATTCTCTGTTTAGATTAGAGCCGTCGTCAAAATTAGGGGCAACGGTTGGTGAAGAGCCCGAACATGGATGGTTATTTATGCATTTATCATAGTGAAAAATATAAATCCTTTTTTGTTAGATGGGCATAGTAATTAAGGGGAAAAAAAGTTTACAAGAGAGAATAACCAAGGAAATTGGATCATGATTTCTATACTTGCTGAATGCATAGGCGCAATGAAATTTTCTAAAAGAAAGGAGGTCGCAAACTTCTGCAGATTCGACATCTAACTAATGAATCAAGAAAAATGTGATGAAATTCGATCGGGTTCTACTATTCCAACTCTACTTATATTAAGTTTTAATGAATTTCTATCCTTTTTGATGTTCGTGAAATACATCTTCATAAATGTTAAGGTAGATTCTTGTGATGATCTCCAAAAATGTGGTCATGCATGCTACTTTAGGAATAACATGTTTTATGTGATTGTATATACATTTGTTATTCTTGCATAAAAATTGTTTACAAGTACCGTATCTATACCTGAAAGTTGTTATGACAATTTGAGATCTAGAAAAAATAGTTTAGTGGAATTAAGTCTACTCCACATGTGTTCTGGAGAAAACACTTGAAACATTCAAAGAGTGGTGGTGTTTGGCCTATAATTAAAGCCAATAGTAGACTTGTTATCTAATTAATTTTAAGAACCTGACAAATAAAATTAATTTATGGCGATTATTTTGTGTTAGTTTGTCTATATGAATAACAGTTTACTTATAAACAATGATATAAATGCCACAATAGAAATGAAGTAGCTTTAATCTTCCACATTCGAGATGAAAAGATCTTGGACAAGCTGATATCATATTAGGTATCAAGATTTAAAAAATAAAATAATATGAATTATATATTGAGTCAATCTCATTACATTTGAGAATAATACTAAGTAAATTTAGTCACTTAAAAAATAAAAAAGTAACTCCCAATTTGGTTCAAGTATCAAGTTAATTAAGAATGGCGGAGAATATTTTGCAGCATATATATAAATTTATAATGATAATCTTAACTTCGATAAACAAGTCACCATATGACGATCTATGTAACGACCCGACCGGTCGTTTTGAGTACTAGCGCTCCGTTCAGCAGACGGAGGCCATGAACAGCTTCATTTCAGGTATTATGACTTGTACGCGTGGTCGGAATTGAATTTCGGAAAGTCCAGAGTTGATTTGGGAAGAGAATTCTTATTTCGGAAGCTTAAAGTTGGGAGAATGAACTAAGATTGGAATTTTGGATAAACGACCTCGGAATCAGGATTAGAAGGTTCCAGCAGGTTCGTATGATGATTTCGGACTTGGGCGTATGCCCGGTTCGGGTTTTGGATAACCCGGGAGCATTTTGGCGCCTATTGTGGAAGTTAGCATTTTAGAAGGAATTTCAAAAGTTTGGTTTGAAGTGCATTTCAGAGTTATCGATGTCCGTTTGGAATTCCGAGACTGGGAGTAGTTTCGTATGGTGATTCTGGAGTTGGGGGTGCGATCGGAAGTGAATTCGGAGGTCCGTAGGTCATTTTGAAGCCATTTGGCTAAAGATAGAAATTTGAAGGTTTTTGAGAAGTTTGACCGGAGGTTGATTTTTGATATCGGGGTCGGAATTCGATTCCGAAAGTTGGAGTAGGTCCGTAATGTCAAATGTGACTTGTGTGCAAAATTTAAAGTCAATCGGACGTGATTTGATAGGTTTAAACATCAGAAATAGAAGTTGGAAAGTTCAAAGTTCATAAAGCTTGAATCGGGGTGTAATTCATGGTTTTAGCGTTGTTTGTTATGATTTGAGGCCTCGAGCAAGTCCGTAATGTGTTTTGGGACTGGTTGGTATGATTGGTTGGGGTCCCGGGGGCCTCGGGTGGACTTTGGATGGCTAACGGATCGAATCCGGAGTTCGAAGAAGTGCTGAGGCAGCTGGTATCTGGTATTTCCGCTTCTGCGGAAATGGGACCGCAGAAGCGGCCCCGCAGAAGCGAAGAAGAAGTCGCAGAAGCGGACGAGGGCGAGGGCAGCCAGGACCGCAGAAGCGGCCCTTGATCCGCTGATGCGGAACCGCAGAAGCGGTTGGCTTATCGCAGGAGCGAAAATGGGCTTGAGCCTAGGGACCGCAGAAGCGGAATAATTTCCGCAAAAGCGGGACCGCGGAAGCGGGACTATTTCCGCAGAAGCGAATATCCCTGGAGGCAGAAGGTTAATTTAAAGTCGGGGATTGGCCATTTCTCTCATATTTCTCATGGCTTGGGGCGATTTTGGAGAGCTTCAAGGAGGGGATTTTTGTCGTCAATGTCAAGGTAAGTTATCCCCATCACTTTTGTGTTAAATATATCAATTATGTATGGATTTAAGTATGAAGATTAGTGTAAATTTGGGGTTTTGGTTGAAGACCTAGGAAATTAGAAATCTTGGATTTTGATTACGATTTTGAGTATGGAATTAAGAGAAAATTATATATTCGAGTTCCTAAGGTTATGGGTAAACTTAATCTTCGAAAAGTTTTGGACTCCGGGCACGTGGGCCCGAGGGCGTTTTGGTCAACTTTTCAATCGGGGTTAGGAATTGCTATAAATTAGTTGTAATGAATATTTGAGCGTATATTAATGGATTTGCGTAACCAATGTCAAGTCTTGGAGCGTGGTGCATCAATTGGAGTCCTCGGAAGAATGTAGAATGCTGGTTTCGAGTCTTCGGAGCGAGGTGAGTCTCCTTTTTAATCTTGTGAGGGGGAAACTACCCCATAGGTGAGTTAAATTGATTATATGCTCCTAATTGTGGGGGCTACGTACGCACGAGGTGAGAGTCCGTGCGTAGCTACTATTATGCTATTGTCCGGGTAGTCTAGAACCCAAAAAGCATGTTATACTTGGATTACTGTGAACCCATTCATAGTGGAATTGTTTAAATCACCTTGAATTGGTAAAGGAATTTAAAAAGAGATTTAATATTAATTTTCCCTGAAATGTTAAAAAAGAGAAACTTGTCTATTTGGATGATTATCCTCGATAAACTCTTAATTTCCTACTTGAGCATGTATTTTGTGTGTGCCTGCGGCGCATGGATGATTTGCAAGCAGGATATGTGTTTATTTATGGAACGGGCCGAACGCCTCGGTGAGAATAGAAGCATCTATGGTTCGTGCCGCTCGACCCTCGGCAGTGCACAGTTTACATCCTGTTGGAGCGTGCCGTCGCCTCGGTGTGATTTGCGCATGTTTATCTGTTACTCGAAACTTGTAAATGTGGAATTGGCCCTACGCGGCTTGATATAAACCGATAAGATAATAAAGAATAGACTTTGGAAGCCCTTGATTTTATTGTTGAAGGTGTTTACCTGTTTTCTGGCTTCACAATTAGAACTTCTATATAAATCCATGATTATTCTCGCACTTACAGAATATTGTTTACTGACCTCTAGCGAGTGTCGAAGTTGGCCATCTCGTCTCTACCCCTTCGGGATTAGGCGGGATACTCACTGAGTACACGTTGATTACGTACTCATACTACACTTCTGTGCATTTTTGTTGCACAGGTATATATACACTTCTAGCAGCCTACTGGGCGTAGCAGCATGTCTAATTCCGGGACTAGGTGAGCTGCAATTTGCGAGGCGACCCGCAGCTAGTGTAGTTCCTTATTGCACTTTTATTTTTTATTCCCTGTCCACTGTATTCTGGACAGATGTTGTATTTTATTTTACTTATCAGTAGTCGCTCATGCACTTGTGACACCGGGTTTCTGGGATGGTTTTCAACGGATTTGTACTAATTGTGATTATTTAAATTTGAAATTCAAGTAGTGAACATTTACTTATGAAAAATGTAAGGAAAAAACTTAGATTTTCAAAAGTATTAAAAGAGGAATTTATTTAAAATTTAGTTGGCTGGCCTGACAGAGGTGTCCGGCGCCACCACGACCCTTAGTGGATTTTGGGTCGTGATTGTAATTTTACATATTTACTTAATTATTTGAAGTTCTTTAAAATAATATTCCTATTAATTAACAACATTGCATACTATAACACTCAAAATACACGTGCAACGCACGTGCCGAGAGACTAGTAAAGATTAAGGGGGTAAACTAGATTTTACTCTTATAATTCTAGTAAAGTATGTAAAACTTGGGATTAATATTAATAATTTAAATTAACAAAAAAATAAATTAATCCCAACTATCAAAAAACGATAAAAACATTCAATTTTTCAATGTGTTATTTGACCATCTTTGAAGAATCGTGACATAAGTATTTGCCTAATTTGCCTTAGTTATTTACTTTTAGGTTTTATAGATCATAGAATTAACAATAATTTTTGTATGATATTCCCACAAAAATTATTGTAAATCACAATGAGGCATCGTAAGACTTTTGTAGGATATAGTTTTTTTTTTGGTAATGAAGAAATTTATTCTGCCCTGTTTAAATGTTATTACAAATTGGGACTTTTCTAGGACACAAAGTTCCTAGCTTGTCCAGTTCAAAAGTAGAAACAACAAAAGGGGGCGGGGAGAAGTACAACATAGGATTTCCAAAAAAATTCGAGTTGCTTCCATTTTTTGCCATAACATCAGCCACTCCATTTGCTTCTCTGAAGATGTGAGTGACCTGTGGCTCTCCTGCTCTAGTAAGCATCCATCTACAATCAGTAATCAAGTTTTGATACGGACCATTATCGTTAGTAAGCATGTTAACTAGAGCACTGCAGCCTGTTTCAACCACTAATCTCCTAATATTTTGTTGTATAGCTATTTTTAGACCCTGAATAAGGACGAGGCCTTCCATGTATATGTTGGTAGCGTGAGGAATGAACATGTTAAAGCATATAATCCAGTTACTATCACAGTCTCTGATAGCCCCTCCAATGCCACCCCTCCCGTGGTTATAGTTTCTTCCTTTATTGAACAGATAAGTGGGATAAACATTCACCATTTTCAAAAACTTACAAATTTTCTTTAATTTTTGCTTTACAATTCAAATACACTATTTAATAATATTTTGTAATGTTTTAAAATTACGCGTACCCAAAAACTAATTGGTATAAAAAGTAAAAGAATCATCACAACATTTTTTATAGAGATAATAAAAGCCAATATATATCCTACTTATATTTTCTCCATCCTTGTTATACAAGGAGCTCCAATAATGTAACAGTATGCAACCGTATTATTATACATATCATAATTTTAACCGAAAGACAAAAAGAAACATTGACCAATTTCATTAATTCCCATGCTTACTTTTATGTAGACCTTTTTATTTTCTAACTTTCGAAAAGGAAAAAAAGGTAAAATCGTACATTGAGTTAAACATGTCGAAATAATAACTCAAACTACTTTGTTATATCTACGGAGATAGCCTTTTCCAGACCAAGCTTAAAATTTTGCATGTTGCATGCCAGACGTATAACATTCGCACATTTGGTGTCATTATTCATGGCATTTACGTTTTTCAAGCCCCTATTAGTAATTATAGAGAAAGAACTGAAAACACAATAGTTTAAAGTAAACAACGATAATTTACTTTTCAAAATTTCCGAAATAAAATTTAATACATTAGCTTAGGTTTGTGCAGACAATTGAAGAGTTGTGGCAGAAAATCCTCATTATCTTTCTTTTCTCCTCAATTTTCAAGATAGCTTTACTATATCCTACAAAAGAAAGAAAAAACGAAAACCAAAGTAGTGACTCAAAAATTTCGTCTCAACCTCTTTTTGGATGAGGTCTCAGATTCATGGAAAAACAAAATATTCCAAATTCAACTAAAATTAAGGACAATATCGCACCAGACACGACACTACTAGAAATCCGGTAAAAAGCGATCACAAAAAGCGACCAAAGTTGGTCGCTTATATGCCCAAAAGCGACCAAAAAGCGACCAAACATGCCTGGTCGCTATATTGATGGTCTCTTTTATTTAGGGACCAAACTTGGTCGCTAATTAGCGACCAACATTGGTCTCTAAGCTAAATGGACCAAATATTCCGGATATTGACTATAGAGACCAACTTTGGTCGCTTTATTAATTTAATAATATAAATTTGGCGACCAAAGTTGGTCTCTAAATATAAAATACTTTATTTATTTATTTATTATTAATCATTAAGAAGCGACCAACTTTGGTCTCTAACCCAAATATTATATTTTAAAATCTGGAAACTAGAGACCAAGGTTGGTCGCTTTTTTATTCAATAATTTATATATTTTATTAAACTAGCGACCAACTTTGGTCCCTAAATACATGAATTTAATTTATTTTTTGTACTTTAGCGACCAACGTTGGTCGCTATATCACCGGAAATTTTATTTTTTTAACGAAATAGCGACCAAGTTTGGTCGCTTTTTGTAGAAATCTGGGTAAGTAGCGACCAACGTTGGTCGCTATTCTCCAGAAATTTATTTTTTTTGAACGTGAAAAGCGACCAAATAGAGACCAATGTTGGTCGCTTTTCTGTGTATTATTTTGGCAGAAACTGCCTGTTTTGGCAGCTACACCACCTGCCAGTCATACCAAAACCCTAACAAGCAACAACAACAACAACAACAATTCAAACAACAATTCCAATAAGAATACCAAACAACAACCCAACAACAACAACAACAACACAAAAACAACATTAAAAGCTACATTAAAACCAAGAAAGTGTAAATTTCAATAGAACTACCAAACTAAGTTAACTCTTATTACAACCCAATGGAAAACAAATTGTATTTGTCTAGTTCAAATTGTCTAAAATTCATTGATTGTTTGGTACATCATTATCATCACCCTCTGATGAAGTTTCATCATCATCACGGTATTGAGAAGGGTCTATTTGTCGATGATGGGAAGAATGATCACGGGGAGGACGGGAGGAACGGCCACTTGGAGGACGGGACGAACGAGCGCGGGGACGGGCAGCCTCTGGCGATGATGGCCGAGACCGGGGAATCGAAAAAGATCCAGCTAGGAGATTTTTGATCTGCTCTTGCATGCCCTGGCACTGAGCGACCACGCCAATGTACTGAGCATCTATAAGCTTTTCTCTTTCCTTGGACGCTTCTAGCTCGGATGTGAGCTTTGTCACAGTCTCCCGCATAGCGGAGAGGCTCTCCCCATCAAGTTGCTCGGCTTGCGAGGAAGTCCCTATTCCTTGCATTCCACACCTATAGCGATGGAATGTCTTAGTAGGAAGGCCGTATACCTTCCCCCATTTTGGACCGCCTGCAGCCCGCGTCCATAGTCTTTCAACATCCTCGGCCGAAAGTTTGAATGGCGCGCCCGACTCATTAGGTGGCTGGCTGCGTATGAATTCCTCAGCTTCAACTCTGAAGCGATCCTATAAGAAAAAGTAAATTGAATTAGTATTTCAAAATTTATATAAAAGTAAATGAAAATACTTAATGAAAAGTGAAAACTTACATGTACAGTCGAGGCTCGTCCCTCGACCCACCTTTCTTCATCCGTCTCTTTCTTCTTCTTCACAATATGAGTCTCCTTGAATAGCTCATCTTGGTTCATCGGACGGCCCAACTTCTTTTCCTGAAAACTCATAAATTTTAATTAATAAATAGAATAGATATACTTTGAAAATTAAAATAAATTAAGCAATTACGTACCATTCTTCTTTTTATTGTCCCCTGGCTGACCGCACCTCCAGTGTGCAAGGATCCTCCCTTCTCAGATGCGCGAGCTTTCTTTCCCTTTTCGCTCTTCTGTAAGAACTCTGCAGTAAGCCATTGCCTTTGCAAATCATCCCAAAACTCCTGAAGCAACCAGCCAGGCTTCTGGTTCAGCTGTCTAGCTATGGAGAAAGAATGCGACAACCGCTTGCGAGCTTTGAGATTAAAATTTGCAGCCACGTCCGCGCTATACTGGTGTTCCCATACACACTTGCTCTGTATTTCAAAAGTTAAATATTATATGAAAATATCATAAATATAAATAATTATACTGCTTAAAAGAACATTTATACCTTAAATTCATTGAAAATTGCCTCCTTCAGTGAGAATGGGAATTCACGCCAAGACGCATAAGGGGCATCATAAAGCTTTCTGGTTGCTTTGGTGATTATCCTCGTAGTAATATTACTCGGGAGGAACCTGCAATTTAATAAGTAAAACAAATTAATATCTTAGTAAAAATTGTACAAAAAAATAAACATAAAAATAACAAATAACTCTTACCCATCACCCTCAGGGACTATGATGATCCTGCCATACTGATCATAATGCACCTCCTCGTCAGCAGCAGTAGCAGCATCAGCATCATCGTCCGAAACATGTGTATCAGAGGCATGTGTGGAAGGAGTAGGGGGGTCAGAGCTACTATCCCGCAAATGAAGGCCTCCAATAGGTGGAGTCGCTGATGAAGATAGATGTGATCCTTGTGACTGCGACATAGCTGCACGGATCGCAAGTGGCTGTGATACTGACTGTTGTGACCCGACTGGCTGTGACGCTGATGGCTGTGATCCATGTGGTTGTGACATGGATCGATGCGATCCATGTGATGCTGCTGGGTGGGATCCACGTGGTAGTGAGGCAGGTGGACTGTATGTCGGACGCACAGTCCGATGGCCCTGTGAAGAAACACCCGGGGTCTGCACGAAGGTGTAGGGCTGGTGATTCTGTGGCAGCTCAGTATAGCCATGGGGTAGAGGCTGTGGCATAGTGATAGGCAAATCAGAAGAGGGTGTAAAAGATTGATGAGTAGTATATTCTATCCTCCTCTTTTGCTTCCTAGCCTTATCTCGACCCCGAGAACCACTACCTTCATTGTTACCTCGACCCTTGCGTGTCATCTGCATAATATAATACATATTTAGATTGAAACATATAAGGAAACTATCTATAAACGAGAGTTATCGAAGAAACCAACTTTTTAAAGCTCATCGACGTATTCTTCCTCGTCAGAGAATTCTTCTTCCTCGTCAGAGAATTCTTCTTCCTCACTAGTTTGAGCTTCATCAGTTGATTCTTCTTCCTCGTTTTCTATAATTGTTACTTCATTTATATCAACTTCTTCCAATATGTGTTCAGGATGTTCCAAATCATTTTCTAAAAGTTCGTCCACTATTTGGTGAACACTGGAGATATCGTTTTGATATGCAACATCCAACACATTCTCGACTTCGACCCTACCTACAGGCTTAGTTTTGATTACAACCCACCAAGCGGACTTATTCTGCCTCAATGGATAAGGAGCATAATACACTTGCCTAACATTATGTGCAATTATGAAAGGATCATAGCGATTATACTCCCTCGTATGATTAACCTCAATTATGTTGTATTGATTGTGTACTCTCGTACCTCTTGTTGGATTTGGGTCAAACCACTTGCATCTAAAAGCATTCGCAACCATATCATGAATTCTGGAATCACTATTTCTATTCTCCCTCGACCTACTGCTTTCACCAAGAACCATGTTATGAAATATCCCATCGCTACCATCCATCTCTCCATGATAAGTCCACACAAAGTAATTCGCTATAAACCCCTTCATATAAAGACGAACCTTAACTTCCTCCGGTTTTCCAAACTTCATACAGTCGCACTTAACACAAGGACACCTAATTACTCCTTCTTTTATGTATGGCGGAAGTGACATTGCATGTCTAATAAAGTCCTCAACCCCTTCTACAAAATCCTCCCGCAATCCCCGCCAATTAGGATAATTCCTATTGTACATCCAAGAACGATGTTCCATCTATTTAAATAAAGCAAGAACAAATTAAATTAGTTAATACATTAATAAACTCCTCCCTTTAAATCTTTTTTCTTATCTTATAAATGTATAATTCATAGTTTAAAGCATGAATTTAGGTACTCTTATTTAGGTATTGTTCCTCTTCTAAGACAATGAATTGTATCTTTTCACAATTGAACTCAATATAAGTAAAAAGCTAATAGGCAAAAAAAACAACCCTAATACTAAATAGTAAAAATTTC